ATATATAAGGCCAAAAAGTTCAAAGTTCTCTCATTGGCTATCTAAGTTCCCTTTCAAAAGACTCCAAGGGGCGTCCGGCGGCGCGAGCTCCAGCGACCTGGGATCTCCTGGAGCGGGCCCAGCAGCCGCACGGAACCGGGCGACGCGCACGCCGTCGCTGGTCTTCCTTGTTAGGGTTTCGGGGCATAGGGTTTAGGGTTTAGGGTTTATAGGGGTTTAGGGTTTAGGGTTTAGGGGTGTAGGATTTAGGGTCTACGGTTTAGGAACTAGGGACGAAGGTTTAGGCTTTAAGATTTTAGGGCGTTGTCATGTGTTGACTTGGGTCTGTTTGAGATGAAGGGTTCGAGGGCTTGGGTTTGGTGTTTGGTTTTGGCTTCGGGATGTTGGTGGTAGCCGCAGTCGTAGTAGTAGCAGTAGTAGTAGCAGCCGTAGCAGTAGCGGCAGCAGTAGCAGGAGCAGTGGCAGCAGCAGCAGCAGGGGGGCAGAAGTATATAGAGTAGGCGTGGAGGTGGCAATAATGACGAGGAGTGAGATGATAAGGCTTTGGGCATAACTTGCTTCAAGAAGGACTGCAAGAGTCTATCTCAAGCCCTTCGCGCCGTTTCATCCCTGAACCCTACAAATGCTTTCTCCCTGGTGGCAGTTCACTCGGCTGTAGCTCAAAGGCTGCCTGCCATGATTGGTCCGATATACCTGTCTGTCCCCGCAACCCTAAACCCATGAGCTCCCAGCTATTTTTGAAGTCTCTTCGACACCGGCGCGCAGCTCCGCTTCGCGGGCTTCTAGCAGTCGCAGCTCTTCGCCGCCCTCTGCCTGTAGCTGCTTCCAGCGCCGATGGAGCTCCTGCACGATCTTTGGTCCAGCAAAGCCCTGGTCGACCAGCTCGGCGCGGTGTGCTTCTTGGAAGAGCTGCCACGCCGACTTCGGCTTCACCTGCACAGGCACTTCCTCAGTCAATCGTGGCTTTGGCAATGCCTCGAAGCCCTCTTTCAGGGCCGGCTGGTCCTGGAGCTGCGCTGGGGACACGCGCTCCAAGGGGTTCAGGAGCAGCATGGGACTGAGCGCTTTCAGACCCTCCGACTCCAAGTGGCTTCTCACGTCTTGCAGCGGGCCTGCTGCCGAACTCAGCCACTGGAAGAAGGAGTCCAAGCCGCCTTTCGTATCACCCTCACTGCTGGCTTCGGCACAGCAGGCTTCCCACTTTGTCTGGAAGACGGGGCGTAGCAGTTTCATCTCGAGCACTGAAAGCCCAACAGACCAGACATCCAGGCGGCGTGAAAGGCGCAGCGGCCCATCATCGGCCACAGCCCGGGCAATTTCCGGGGCGGCATAAATCGCCGTGTAAAACTCTGCATCCCTCATGTCCACCACTTCTGACGGGGTTCGTAACCCGTCCATGTCGATCAGCTTCCACCTATCTTTCTGCCCGAACCACATGATGTTTGAGGGTTTCATATCCCCATGTATAAAACAGCGGCTGTGTAAGAAGGCTAAAGCAGAGTTGACGTGCACCAGGACCCTGCGCAACTGCGCCTCGTCCTGCAAGCAATGGGGCTTCTTCCCTCGCGCCGCATCTCCACATGCCAAGACCAAGTCATGGAGAGTAAAGTCACCCAGTTCTAAAACGCTCCAGCTGTCGTCCATGCCCAGATCCAGGCTTGAATACGACAGAAGTTGCACGAAAAGATTGTTCGGAGTCAGAACGACGCCGGGTGCACGCTTGCTGTCGTATTCCATTGACCCCTTCACAACTGTCGCAGATCTGTTAAATGCCCTTCGACTGGTCGGAGAAGACTCATCGACATCACCACTCGAGAAAATGGCCTCGAAGAGGAACACCTTCAGGTCTCCAAAAATAAATGAAAGCTTCACCGTAGACCTTAAACACGAGGATGCTTTATGTAGGGGCCTTGAGAATTAGAATAGGTTCTTGTGGTATATTACACTCTAGTTATAATAAGGAACCCCCAAAATATACGTAATTACTAAGGCCCCTTTCCTACTGTTTGGACCCCCACATTCCCCACATGACATGGGGACCCCGATTTCTCAGAAACACCCCAACCTCCCTTCGGAACTTCGCGGAACTGGCAGCCTTCAGCGACTTTACTGCGACCGCCTCACCTGTTGGGATGTCACAACCCTTCCGAACGATGCTGAAGTTGCCGATGCCCAGGACATCCGTCCCCGTCACACGATAGCGATCCTCCGTTGCCCAAGATACACTGAATCATACAGGTTCCTTTGCCATATAGCCCCTGAATCATCAAGGGTACCCTTCTTCCTATCATTCTGGCTTAAAAAAACGAAACCCCCAACCAAAAAGAACAGAAGCGTGCGAGTGCTGCCTAGGATCTAAGATCGTTCGTGTCCATGCCCAGTTTTCCGAGTCCGTCGCGGCTTCGATCTTCTCCTCAGTGCCCTCAGGGCACTTCTCCGGGGCTTCTGCCACTGGAGACCGCGAAACCTTGTCTTCTGCCCCACAAGCCTTTGAGGCCCCGCTGCCCATGGCGCTCTGAGAATCTGGCAGGACGACGGGCTCTGAGACATCTTGGGCCTGAACCCTACACCGTGGAAACCCGTAGCTTGAAAAGTTCTCTGTTGTTGCATGGAGGGCTGCATGATGTAAACGTCGGAATAGTTAGTAAAAGATATGGTTCCTTGGGTTCCTGGCTGCGGTCAGGGTATAACATCCCCAAGACCCTGTTCTACGATTGATTCTTAAGGCCGCAATAATACTTTCAGCATCCGGTTTTGTCGGCGTGGGTCCTTGACTACGTTGAAGTGTCGACGCTCGGAATGATGCATTGTGCCGTGAGGGCTTGTTGAAAAGGGTCAAGCTCGAACAGCAACTACCATACAGGCGTCAGCAGAACTAATGCAGAAGGCTGAACGATTAGCAAAACTAGTCTTTTGGGGGGGTCCTTATGATAAATATCGCAGATTGGACCCGAAGACCAATTCGAATTACTAAGGCCGCTGTATTACACCAGGGGGTTTCCAGTACTGTTATGCACGTGCTAAGAAACACCGGGGGCCGGCAGAGATGAGTTGAAGCAGCAGCGTAGATTACTCTCAACCGCTTTGCTGGAACCTTTGCCGGTCTCGTTTCGATGGGCTCGATCGGTCGCAAGACCAAGATTAAGATTTGTCAACACTTTGAAGGTTTTACGAAGCCCTAAACCCTAAACCCTAAAGGCCCTAGACCGTAAACCCTAAACCCTAAACCCCTAAAACCCTAAAACCCTATCTGTCTGGTTTTTGCAGGATGCCCAACCCCACACCCCAAGGTTTAGGCTTTAGGGTTTAGGGTTTAAGGTTTAGGGGTTTAGGGTTTAGGGTTTAGGGTTGAGGGTTTAGATCCTAGAAAACCCGAAAACCTAAATATCTCAAGACCTCCCAGACGGGCTGCATGTAGCTGATCTGTGGCCACAACTCATTGGAGATCAGAAGCTTCCTGTTCTTGCCACGGAACTGAACTGAAAATTATATAAGTCACCATAATAGGGATCTGCGGGGTTTAGGGTTTAGGGTTAATGATTTACGTCATATAATACAGACCTACAGAAATATAGTCTATAGCAGGATTTCCTTCTGCCGTAGCTTGGATAAGACTCCTTGTCCTTGGCAGCAGACCGGTCTACTTAAACTCAACCCCCTAACAAAAGCTTCGTCCGTGTTGGATAAACCCAGGGCCCAGGACCCCTACTAGGGTACCTTATGGGGTTTTCTTAGATCCATGCAGCAGAGGTCGAGAGCCCTCCCTATAGGAGAAGTGCCACGTAAACCTTATGGAGTTTAGGGTTTAGGGATGAATGCAGGAACATAGGATCTTATAGGGTTGTGCGTATTGATGTTTGGGTTTCTTGAGGGTTTGTAGACCCTTGAATCAAGGAATGTGCCTTGGAGCATCTGGTGCGCAACATTCTGGCATATTTACAGCATACCTTACATCCCAAATAACTTAGCGCTTTAAGGGCTTATTTAAGGAACCCATAATGAATGACAGGGTTAAGGCATATGGTGAGTTCTCTAAATTAGCTTCCCTGTTCAGATTCTATGGCCGGCAAGATGCAAGATCCTTGGAAAAATCGAATCTGGGGTGTGCGGTAATGTGGGAGCTTGAATAGTCCGAAGAGAGCTTTGGGTCTATTATAGGGTTTAGGGTTTATTCTACTAGATTAGCAAGGGTAAGAGGTAGAGCCATGATGACGATGATCAATACTTGACAAAAATCAAGAACCCTGAGGAATAGTACTGGTAGGCTTCTGGGAGCTAGGATTAAGGGGACCCTTGGGGATATAGACCCTCTCAATAAGGTCCCTTTTAAGAGAGCCACAAGTAGGGTTAAGAAGGGTCCCCTTTAAGGGGTCTCCCTAATACGACCCAGGAGCTTCTATACTGCCCTTATCATGAACGGATGATACAGCGGATCAGAGGCACAGTTCTGATCATGCTCCGAGGCGTGCGGGGCTTGCCTCAAACCTATAAAAACCTACCTGTTTTTCGGTTCCTTATCATGAACTCCTTACAAAAAACACGTCCTTCAAAAGGTAGGATACTTGGCCTGTATGAACCCTTTCAACCCGCAAGACTTTAACCCCCTAGCCCCAAATCCCTTTCTAATATCCCCTTCGGAAGGAGTAAAACCCCTATAAAAACCCTTTACCCCTTATATAAATCCCTTTAAAGGAGCACTTTAGAAAACCCCCGGGGAAAAACCCCTAAATCCTAAACCCCTA